AATGTTATGAGGTCTTCTTTGATCTTTATTCGTTCATAATTCTGGAAAATAACCTCAAAAGTCTATTTGTTTTTGTGTAAATATCTCTGATTTTTCATTGTGGAAAAATTATAATAACTCTTTGGCGAGTTAAGAAAAAAATAGGTTATTTTGACAACTTTATATGAATTAAAGCTGAAGGTTACGGAAGCGCTGATTAATATAATAACTTGTCTGACCTTATGTCTGGCTGTACAAAAGAAGAAAAAGGAAATCATATCGATTTTTTTTTATTATAAGGTGGCAAACGAGCTAGCGGCCATCTGCTAAATAGCGACGCGACCAGTGCTCGTAGACATCCGTAATTGCAGATGCGTTGACTTTTAATCGATGGAGGAGGGGACGATAGGAAAAGAATATATCCCATTCCTAAGCGAAACTTCCCGAAGTCACTATCCCAAGAGTGGAAAGGAAAAGGGGACGAAAAAAATATTTAATTCTAGTAATTTACCTAAATCTGTGTATACCCAGATTGATCTAGGCCCGCATTCTGTTCATAAGTTTCTAGACAGTTTGAGTTCTAGATCAATAAACAGTCAAAGTAAATAGCATCGCGTCTTCGCGTCAAACATCAAGCAGACTTACAAAGACTTGGAAACTAAAGGTATTGCTTCCTTCCAAAAATAGGATATTAAAACGGAATGTTGTACACAAAGAAACTTAAAAATTAAAATAGTTTTTCTAAGTGTTTTTGTATATGAAAGAATTTAGTGTAATTAATTGCGGATGTCCATGGATAATGTTGAATACCTCAGTGTTACCGCACGCTTGCCACCTATCTTTTTTTTATATCAAAAGGTGGCAAACGAGCAATCGGGCAAATAGCGAAGTGACCGTTGCCCATAGACATACGCAATCGCATAAGCGTTGCCTACCTTTAATCGACGGAGGAGAGGATGCACAGAAAGAAAATATTTTCCCTTTTTCTTTGTAAAACTACTGCTTAAAAGTATGTCACTTTCTCGGAATATTAGTAACGTATAATGCGAAAGTCACCCTTAACTTGGGTAGGCTCCGAGCCCTTCAGTGGGGACGGATAGTGAGCTGATGATGAATGCGAATGTAACTCTGTCTGTCTTTCTTTCACACAAAAAGTGCTGAACCGATTCAAATGAAATTTGGTACAAAGATAGTCTAGATTTTGGGATTGAACATAGGTTACTTTTTAGGGGAAAAGGAGTTGTGAGTTTGTAAGTTTACTGTTGTATGTATAAGTGTTAGTAAAATAAGTAGTCTAAATAATTAAAATGCTACCCAAAGAAAGAATTTCACGCGGACGAAGTCGCGAGCACATCTAGTACGAAATATATAGGTTGTTTAAAAAATTCATAGCGCGACGATAGCAGTAATATTTGTTGAACTTACTCATTCGTGGTGTGGAATAACAGACTAGAGAATAAACATGGAGGATTCGTGTTTTAGTTCGTAAAACAATTTTACGTCTGAAATTACAAAAATATTAACGTTCTATTCCGTATTGTGGTTACAATATGGTTACATAGAAGAGAATGGTCGTTTAATATTAAAATGGAATTCGTATGCAGATAAACTCGGATCTAAATCTAGTGAATTATTTTAAATCTTTAAATGAGCAATTCTTGTATATATATATGTATATATTAATTGGAATCTCGGAATTGGCTTCAACGATTTTCATAAAATTTAGTATATAGAGGGTTTCCGGGGCGATAGATCGATATAGCTAGAAATCATTTTTAGAAAATGTCATTTTATTCGTGTTTTATCAATAATCAACTTAAACATAAACTTAACTTTTTCTATCGGTAAGATTGAAAAATATTCATCATTTTATTAGTAATTCGTACTTAAATATAATTTCCAAAAAACACAATTTAAAAAATACCGAGCAAAGCGGTCATCCAGGTACTCTCTAATGAAGCTAGACAAAGAATATTGGCTCCAAAGCAATTCCATAACAAAGATCCAAAAATGGAAAGTGGGGTTTCGACAAAATGCATTCGCTTCGAAGCGATTCCATAACGAACTTTAAAAATATAAAACTGACAATAACTTTCGATTAGTCACGTGATTTTGAAGTTCGTTATGGAATCGCTTCGAAGCGAATGCATTTTGTCTAACCCCTTTGACGCTTAACAATCACGCGACTTATCGAAAGTTATTATCAGTTTTATATTTTTAAAACTCGTTGTGGAATCGTTTCGTAATGAGTGCATTTTGTATAGCCCTGCAGTATAGACAAGGACAATTCTATTTTTCTTTGAGTTTCTGTCTTCATTCGTCCTTTAACGATGCGTTAACTACATTCCATTTTCAATTTAACACACACATATTTAACTAAACAGTTAAAACATACTTGTGCAGGCAAACTGAGCCTCTGTACTATTTCCAGTAAAAATTTTGACTACATATGTAATTTTTAACTATACAGTTCAACTGTGCAGTTAAAACTTAAGGTGTATAGCTATACGCTTGGTACACAGAAGACAGGTGTGAAGTGGAAGCAATTCCGCGTTTCGTCTGATGAGTGTGCGTCCCGGAGGCCTAATTTAGTCCTCTTTCCCTTCCCATCCTTTTTCTTATAAGGAAAGGATGGGAAGTGGAAGTGGACCTTCCGGATGAGAGGATGCTTGGAAAGGGAAGAGATTTCTTTCTGTGCATCCTCTCCTCCGTCGATTAAAGGTAGGCAACGCATATGCAATTGCGTATGTCTATTATTTTACTTAGTCTTTATTAAAAAATATTTTTAAATCCTCATAACAGAAAAGAAAAGTAACGGAGCGATAAAAGTAGACACCGTTTTAATTAAGAACCATTAAGCGTTAAGTAAAGTTCCTCCAGAGAAGAATAGACCTTTTTATTTTAGGAAAAATCCTTTACCGAACGAAACCTTTAAAGAAATGATAAGAAATCAAGAATTTCTATTTTGTTTTCATTTTCTTTATTATTCAACTTATTTTTATGATTAAAATCTTTCATAGTTTGCTTTTTTACATTTCAACAATAAGTAATAAATGTCAACAGGCAAATATTTAACAATGGAACGCCAGCTACACTACCACGATCATACAGAAGACGGGAGTCAAGTGGAAGCAATTCCTCGTTCCCTCTGTTCAATGTTTGTACCGGAGACCTAATTTTACTCCTCTTTCTCTAACCGTTCTTTTCTTATAAGGAAAGGAGGGGAAAAGAATGTGGATATGTCGCAGTTGGGGACCCATTGCAAGGGGAAATATTCTCTTTTTTGTGTTCTCCGTCGAACCCATTGCAGTGAATTCCTGCTACATGAAGTCCCTAATGTTTAGAAGTGTGTTTTAACGCGATTTCGTATAATAATATTGTAACACCAAAAAAAGTGTCTGTGGCTCAGGGGTCAAGCATTTGACTTGCAATCTGCAGGTCCTGTGTTCGATTCCTGCCATGCACCAATGTGTTTTTCGATTTCCGATTTACTTATGTACTTTTATCCGACGTTCTTATGGTGAAGGAAAACATCGTGATGCAACCTGCACATATCTGAGAAGAAATTCAAAGATATGTGTGAAGTCAACTAACCCGCACTTGGCCAGCGTGGGTGACTATGGCCTAGTCACTTACTTAAGGTAGGCTCCGAGCCCCTCAGTGTAGAAGTATATTGAGCTGATGATGATAATAAAACGATTAGATCGTTTTAAAGCATAACTTGTACATAACTCGTTTGACGTCACAAAATAAAGGCACTAATTAATAAAGGCCGTCAATTTTCGCTTTACGCCGCATTCTCAGTGGACGTATATTAAATTCTCTGCAACGTAGGTACAGACATGATTAAAATGCTTTTGTTACATTGT